GGACCCTATCGTGCATCCACAGGTGCATCTCAAGTAGGGCCAAGGAGGTGATCCTCCCCCTCTACGCGACACTGGTCAGGCCGCAGCTGGAGTACTGTGTCCAGTTCTGGGCACCCCACTTCAAGAGGGATGTGGACAACATTGAGAGGGTCCAGAGGAGGGCCACCCGCATGATCCATGGACAGCAGGGCAGACCCTACAACGAGAGGCTACGGGACCTGAGCCTGTTCAGCTTTCACAAGAGAAGGCTGAGGGGGGACCTGGTGACCATCTATAAACTCACTAGGGGGGACCAGAAGGGTTTGGGGGAGACCTTGTTTCCCCTAGCGCCCCCCGGGATAACAAGGAATAACGGCCACAAGTTGTTGGAGAGTAGGTTTAGATTAGACATCCGTAAGAACTACTTCACAATAAGCGCAGCTAGGATCTGGAACCAACTTCCAAGGGAAGTGGTGCTGGCTCCTACCCTGGGGGTCTTTAAGAAGCGGCTTGATACCTACCTGACTGGGGGCAATTGAGCCCAGTTTTCCTCCTGCCCAGGCAGGGGGTCAGACTTGAAGATCTACAAGGTCCCTTCTGACCCTACTTCTATGATTCTATGCTATTCAAAACAGTACATCACTTTTCAAATTGTTTTCATTACACCATACTACTTGATACAGTCTGAAGACCATTAATGCAAGGTGTTCTGACTCTGAACTTACTTTCCATCAAACCATAGAGAATAACCTTCAAGGGTTCATATCTTGCTGTATGTCATAGGATTCATAATCATTTGCTTCTTAGAGTTTCGTTTTGTAATATAAAATAGCTGCCAATCTTGAAGTCCCCATTCACTGGCTATCTACTTTCCAAGTAACTTGCACCAGTCTTCAGTACCATAAGAGCTCAAAGACATGCATCCTCTTCCTCATTTCTGTACAGTGCCCAGGATTTGGAACTATACATAACAATTGAGAATCATTGTTAACCTGAAAAGTCACCGTATAAAGTTAATGGAAGTGCTATGACATTTTCAAATTGTTTCCTTGTTTTGCAGAGCTTTTTTGAAATCAAGACATCAGTTTAGCATCTCTACTGCTTTCTTTTAGTGTTAACTAGATATCCCAAAATTTCAGAACTTGCTCCTCTTCTGTAACTTTCCCATCAATAATAATTGTCTTGTTGTTTAGTAGCAAATCTTTCGTTGAACTACTTTGCTTCACTTTGCTTAATGTTTTTAGTTAATCCGCACCCCTTAAATGAATATAATATCTGCATATTACACTTGTGAAATCCTCCAAACTTGATTTTTCTGTTAAAATTTTAAAGTACTTGCATTCATTGTTGACTCAAACATACGTTGAAAACCTTGGTGAACGCGATTAGTCTTAAACCACCTTGTCCAACTCTGGTTTTGCTGCAGTTCCATGATGTGGCTAGGAAATCCCATTTTGCATGTCAGTTTTCCACAGTGTATCATGATCAGCACAGTCAAAGGCTTTCGCATAATTATAAAACAAATATAAAGAAGTACTCTAAATTTAAATGTTTGGGGTTTTTTTCTCTCCATTAAATTGTCAGTTATACTTTCTGCGCTCTCCCTGAAATACTCAACATTTTATTGGTGAGAGGCTGGTGATATTTTTCTTAAATGCATCGGCATTTGAGAGGCATATAGAAAACTAAGTTCCTCTGGCAGAACAAGAGAAAG